TCACATTTCAGTGGAAATATATTAAAATAATCATGGTGGGATTGTTTTAAGACTACCACACAAAGACGTTTTATTAAGTCTGTAGAATACCTGGACCTCTGCAGCACCACCGTGGATCATAAAGATATGTTCACCTACTTTTCCTTTACCAAATAATGACTTATGGCCCTTTATGTAAGTGCAGGATATTCACAGTAGGGCAGCAAAATCCCACAGAATCATGCAAAAGTATCACTTTATATCTTGCTGATAAGTTTCAGGAGAAAAGCGTTAAAACGTGACTTAATCAACTCTCTCCTGCTCTATTATTCCAATCAGTGTGATTGTCAGGTTCATTATGCTTTGTGATATTTAGTCAAGGTATATTTGGAAACTAAAAGGCGATGTAATTAAAGATTTTTGAGAGTTGAATATGGTTGACATCATTTTTCCTAAAGACATTTTATTTGGTTTCTATTTTAAGGCTTTGAGGGTTGATTAACCTGGTATATATTATTTTCTGCTTAGGATTGTTTTCTAGTTTTATGTGTTATGGAGGGATTTTGAAACGACAGGCCTCTAGACAATAACATATTTAAGCAGTGGTGGAAAGTAACAAAGTACTTTTACTTAAGCGCTATAATGAAATACTTTATAGACATACTTACTGTAATTACTCTACTCATCCATTTCCCACTGTAACCATTTGTTAACACTCTATAGTCGCTAGCTACTTTTTACATATACAAAACGTGATATGTTTATATGATATGATCCAATATTGTATTTCAAAAATATATATAAAATGTATAAAAACTCAACATGGACAAACTTCAAGAATAAAATACTCTTATATGTATTTGTTTGTAATGAATCAGGATCCTGTTATAATATAATACTGTGAAAAGACAATATTTTGAAATTGAGTACTTTCCCTTGATACTTTAAGTACAATTGGCTGAAAATACTTCTCTACTTCTACTTAAGTAACATTTTGAATTCTGAAATGTTACTTGTATTGGACTATTTTAAGACTAATGTAGTTCTGATTTTACTTAGGAAAAAGATATAAGTTTGTCGTCCACAACTGCTAAAGAGGAGACCCATCTTGTGACCGCGGATTTTAAATCTCTTTCAGCAGTTGCTTAAAAAAATCTGAATAAACCTTAATGTTCGGGGTCTCTTTGACCTCTTAGGGCCGCTTGGTAAATCATTCATGAAATGGTATTTGAAGATATTTGCTGCGGAGCTTTTTGCTCACAAATATTCTCGAGATAAATTGAATTTTGTTTGCTATGCGCACACAATATAACAAACATGAAAAGCACAACAGCAACATGAGCCAATTTTCCATTAATAATCCAAAGAACTACCAGCGGTTATTTACCTCAGGTGGAAAAATATTTACCATTTCAAGTTGTTTTCAGTGGATTATTCAGGGTGACATAGCGCTAGAAATCTCTACAGCAGATGTGGGAAGAATTTGGCAAATAAAATTGAAATGATTTGCATGGCTACGTAGGAAGATGTGTGTTTTTGCAATTTTGGTGAAGTGACCCTTAAACATGTGTAATTGAGCAGAATATGAAAATGGATACAAGCATGATTGGATGAAGTGACCATTAAAATCCAGTGCCGGTTTTAAAAATAGGTTATTTTTTTTTAAACATAAAAGCATTGCCTGCTCCATCACTCTCCACCATTGGAAAAGTACATTTACTCAAGTGCTATATTAAAGTACAAATTGAGGTACATTATCCAACACATTTCTTTATGTGTCACTTCATACCTCTACTCCAGTACAATTCAAAGGGAAATATTATAAGTTTTTATCTCAATACATTTAATTTACAGATTAAGTTACCTTATAAATTCAGATTTGTACACACAACACAACGGAGAACTTTTAAAATGTGGCTCTTTGGTATAGATTAACCCATACAACATTATATCTAAGTACATAAAACCATGAGTTGGTTAACAGATTATGAACTGGCAGCAATTTTAACATTTAAACATTTCACAGTTTAAGCTTCTAAAATGTGAAGATTTGCTGATTTCCCTTAAAAATATTTTTAAAATATTTCAATATATATTTTGAGTTTACTGTTACTCCTATTACTGTATCCTGACCACTCCGAAATACTTACTTAATAACCATTGTCAATGCAGTACCTTAGAAGATAAGCATTTTGAAAGTGTATTATCAGTACTTTTACTGAAGTGAAGGATCTGAATACTCAGATACTCACAACTGCTTTCCTCTGCGGGGAATACAATACAAAGTTAGGGGAGTAACCTTTATGAAAGCCATCATCCGCTCTACTGTAGCTCTATATGTGGATATACGACTTTATAAGACATAACCGTCAGGGTAATGATGGCGGAACTTAATAAGCTGCTTAATAGTGAAATATAAAGCAGACCATACGTAACATATCCATCCACTTAATGGTAATGAATGACCTTCAGTAAATTCAGTGTAACAGTGACAAATGGATCCTTGTAGCTTTATTAGTCTAGTCAGTGGAGGAGGAGAAGAAGAGAGCTACATTATTCCAAGTGGTGGAAGAATTACTAAGACCTATTACTTCAGTAAAAGTAGCAATATTTAATTGTAAAAATACTCTTTTACAAATAATAATTATTGTACTTAAGTAAAAGTACTAAATGATCGGCATTAGCTAATAATGTGAAAGCTGTCAGAGAAATGTTGCAGAAGAAAAAGTACAATGTTGGCTTCTAAAATGGTGTGGAATAGAAGTATAAAGTAGTTGAATGTGAGAGAAAAAATGCAGGCAAAGTACACAGCTTGAGTGTGTATTTATATACAAACCATCACTGATTATAACAAAGAGATAACATTATTGCTAAATCCTGTGCAGTGCATTTTCCATTCACTAAGCTTGTGTAATTATTTTTTTCCGGCCTCTTTTAAAGTGTTAAAACTCAGCGTGAAGCCGGTTCTGCTCCAATATCCCCCAGAATGCAAAGCTGACTCCAGTTCATCTCAGAGCTGGATTTATAAGTCTTATCACCCCCCCGAAAAACAGAAACAGTCAATTGTAACCATATCGCCGCTCTTTTCTTTTCTATCGACACAGAGTAAATTAATTACATTGCTGTTAGACTTGTGGTAATCTTCCTCTGGAGTGATGTTCACACACACACACACACACACACACACACACACACACACACACACACACACACACACACACACTCACACTGTGTACAAAGGAGTTAAAGCTCTTTGAAACAACACTTATCTTGACAGCGTATCCCGCCGGTTTGCTTTTTAAACACACAAACAATTCAAACAGCAAAATAAACAAGTGCGCTATTGATTTCCCAGAGTGCAACAGACCGCTTATCTCTTTCGCCTTGCGGTAAGAGCTGACAGTTTCCTCATTAAAAATGAATTGGATTAGCATTGCATTGAATGTGGTGGGAACACGTACACACATATTGTTTCTTGGAGCGTTGAGGATTTCACTCTCAGCCTAATTCACACTTAACCTCTCTCACGTACACAACGTTTCTCACCGCTACCTGCCGCCGGATCACATTCCTGGATGTTGCACCGGAGGAGGAGGGATTGTGTCAGCGAGGGAGGAAGGGAGGAGGAATCCATGAGGGAGAAGGGTGGAGGAAAAGGGGGGAGAGGTGGTGGGAGGAAGAGGGTGAGAGAGGACAAGCTGGAGAGTCTCAGCACGCGGTCGCTGTTGAAGTGATAATGAGACATTGATCAGAGCCTGGCAGATGGCATGATGAAATGCATGCACTCTGTCTGTCTTCATCTCTCTCCCACTGTCCTGTTTCCCTTTCTTCCTCTTTTTCTTTGACTGTTTCTTTTGATTGGCGTTTTGTTCTGTCTCATTGCATTTTCCATACTTCTTTTATCTTCTTCTTCTGCTCTGGATTACACTTGTTCTTTGTCTTTATTCCCACCAGGCGTTTCTTTCTCCTGTCATATGTTTGAGTGTATTCTCCTATATTGTTGTATGTTCAAGAACAACGGGTTCAGAAGATTTTTAAATGGTTCTTAACAAATAGTATTTCTGGGAATGCAATCGCGGGGGGATCAGGTTCACGTTCAAAGTCGATAGTTACTGAGATTGGGAAAACTATGTTGCACATTTTTGACGCCACTGATCCGTACATGAACGTTTTTGTTTATTTCATAACTAGTAAACTCGGGATTATTTAGGTTATGCTCATAGCTGATTTGTTCTATTTTAACATGTTCCCTTATTTGAGCAATTCTTTTTTTTAATTGTTAGTTCTTGATTAAAGCTTTCTTTTCAGGAGATGTTTTACAAATGATACATTGAAAAAGTAATATGCCGTATAAAAAATGGTGGGTCTCAAGCGTCCCCGGTGTAAACGCCACCAATGTTCAAGAAGCAATGCATACCATTGCAATGGGAAACAATACTACAAGTGCACATTTCCACATGCATTCTCACGTTTATGTATTAATACACACAGAACCTCATAAACACTCAACATCCATGCCGTTTACAGTTCAATAAATAGCTCCAAATCATAGGAAATACTGTTTGGACTTTCTTGCCCAGAGTTAGACAGGATGATTCATACCTCTCGTGTTGTATGGTATATATGAAGTGTTTGCTAGCAGCTGGTTAGCTTAGCACAAAAACTGGGGGAAAAGGGAAACAGCTAGCTATGCTCTATATGAAAGTAACAGAATCCACCAACCAATGAGGTTTAAGCTAATTAATTATGCATGTTTTATCTAGTTTGTTTGTTCAGTGTTTTAACCTAAATGTTTTTTTGATCTTCTCATCTAACTCTCTACAAAAACACCACATTCAAACAAATGACACCATGTCTGCCCATTCCTTTAAATGTGCAGAGATTTAAAGAAAAATGTTGCCAAAAGAAAATACAACCAATGCTCTGATATACAGCCAACACTGCAAATAAAGCTATAACTGTGCTATCAAGTCTTATTAACACTTTTATCTTTTTTATCCTTCTTCTTCTTGGCTCTGCAGCTGTGGAAGACAGGAAGTTGTTCATTGGCATGGTGTCAAAGAAGTGCAACGAGAACGACATCCGGGTCATGTTCTCTGCATTCGGACAGATCGAGGAGTGCCGAATCCTCAGAGGGCCGGACGGACTGAGCAGAGGTGTGTGTCACTCCGACTCACTTCCATCCACACGTAATGCTCCTCATGTGAATTTTATTACCGCAACGGCCTCCAGCAGATGTTGCTGTTCAGTGTGTCTGCTTCTGTCGTGACTCAAACTCAAAACCCTGCAGGAAGTCTTGACCACAGTTGGCTGGTGGAGATGGTTTCTGAGCCAATGGCTGGAGTGTAAGCTACATTTTTCTTAGTGATAATGTACCCAAAAATCGAGGAATTTAATGTTTTTTTTAAGAAAAGGCTTCATTCAAAGCACTCTTCTACTCACTTAGAAGTTGTTACTGCATAATCAGCAGCTTATTTGCATTTCCAACTATTTTTCTCCTCACTGTCTATTACTGGATGTTGTTCCTGAGCTGTCAATGTCGCAGGAAGACAATGTTTACTGTAAACATTGGTGATTATTAGTGACTGCTTCCTTGAGAAAAAAACATAAAACGCTTCTAGAGAAATACACGTCTGAAGACAGTTGCCTTAAATCTGCTTCATTTACCTAAAAAAAATATTATTTCTATCTGTGTTAAGATGGAATTCTCGCCATACCTTGGCCAACAAATATGGCAGACTTTACACTGACCAATCCCAGCTCTCTGTACACAGTCTTCTTCCTTTGCAGTCACTAAAAAGAGCTATGTCAGTTAGCAGCATATTTTTTAGTTAAAATGCTGAGCACAGGTGTGAGTAATGTAATGTTCCTGAACCAAGAGTGATAGTGAAATGGTTGACTGAAATGAAATCGAACATCAGTCCTCTTCTGCTTCACTGGGTTGTCGGGGAAGGGTGCTCTGTACACATCTTAGCAGCAAAAAGAACTGGTGAATAGTGCTAATCTTAAGTGATGTCTTTACTGTGAGCTGTAAGGCCTCAGAATACCAAAATCATTGAGATAATTGTCATACCGTGATTAAAGAAGACCAATTAAATCCACCAAAAAATGGTTGGAATCAGAAATGTTACGTTATATTTCACTCTATATCTACGATAGTGGCCGTTTATTTAATGTACCAAGTTCCTAGGCCACTTAGTCTCCAAGCATATCTTAGTGGGTGGTTTCCATTCAAAATGACATCTAACTCTAACCCTAAATGACTTAATGATTCAATGGTATAAGCTATAACATTAGCAAAAAATGAAAATACTTTAGTCAATACTTGTCCCATAGAAACGTGCTTCTAGCATCTTATGGATATCGTAGTTAAAAACGATTTTTGGCCCCTGAAAGCTGCGTATAATGCATTATCACCTTTTGTGAATAACATTTGAACATGAACAATAGCAACCAGCAACAATACCATAGCGTTGTCCAAATACTATAATATGACCAAAGGCTTTCAAGACAGCATGGTATTTAAATGATGTTATCTGCATCTACTTAATTCATTGCATCCGCTTCTGTTTTCTACCAGCTGCTTGTTGGTCGAGATTTATTCGAGGTTCTGAGAGAGTCACGATGAGAAGTAAACGCACACGAACCTCAGCGACATCTTGAGGCTTTTGTGACCACTGTGAATACATGCTTCTCCTTTTCGCTCTATATATCTCTTTTCCCCTCTCTCTCTCTCTTCCCCCCCCCCCTCGCTCTCTCAGCTTCAGCCCCAGATCACCCCTCTCCCCCCCCCTCCGACCTCCTAACCTCCATTCACATCCTCCACCTTCCCCGCTGCTCCAGTTTAGCCTCACTGTAAGACAGTCCTCGGCTCTTTGATACTTCCGCAGTGAAGCTGAAGGGCATTTTAGGGAGACATGTTGCTGCTTGTTGCATTTACATTTATGCAGTGCGTTGGCTTTATTTAACACAGAAGAATTTAAATTTCAAAGCCAAGCAGCCATTTTCCTTTCCTTTTTTTTGGATTGGTTTAAGACTGTCGTTCTTAAAAGGTTATACTAGGAAATTAGTAGAACCAGAATCAAGTAAACATGCTGCAATTGTAACAAAGAAATATATTCATTTATAAAATGCATAAGTAGGGTTAGGTATTATTTTAAATCTTCTATACTGGAGCCAATACAAATGTATAAAGGGCTCAGGCTTATATAACTACTTCATTAAGGTAAAGGAGATATGGTGGTCATGATTCATTATTTAATGACATGAAAATATTCTAACACTCTGGTTGGTTTACATTAAAGCAACTGAAACTACTTAAGTTAATAGTTACCAAATTGTATTCAATACAGTATTTGAACAGTCCCTTTTTTTATTCATCAAAATACGCCAAAGTCTCAAATGTCAAAAGCAGCTTTACTTTAAAATTATCAAGATGTTATTAAGACATTGGGTTGTCAAATAATATGAATCTGACTTGGCAGTGTCTGTCTTACCGCCTCAAATATAAAACAATTAGTACCAAGCGAATTGTAATTATTATAAAAAAGAATGGAAACCAATGGAATAGCAACTATTTCTTGTTTGTTGTTCTGGAGAATGAAGAATAAAATAAGTCTGCTCCGAAATAAAAGGTAAATAATCTGTCAACACAAGAGTAAATATCATCAATACTCCAAATATGGCAGTATCTCACTAAGCTGTTCTACTAGATGTGGAGAAGGGTACAAACTGCTTCCAGGCAAACAGTCTACTTGTTGATTTCATGCCGTGTTTGCTTAATGTAATTGCAGTACGTTAAGTTGACATAATGTACTCTAAACAAAGTGCTCCAGGGCTGGTTAGAAAACGAGAAGCAGGCCCATTATCAGGCTGTCAAACCAATTCGATTTGTCGTCTTCTGAAATCCCCATCAAACTAGAGTACAGGGATTTAAAATAAGTACTTTAAAAGTGGCCAAAGTCACAATTTCAGTGGATCATAAGGTCTGCATTTTGACCACTCATCTATCAATCCCACCCAGCGATTGTAGCTCTATAAATAGCCCTTGTAGTAACACAGGGATCCCTTGCATCATCAACCATCCTGCCCCACAAACACAGGCCCCTGCCCTCCTCCCCTCATTTCTACTCTCTTCCCAAAACCTCCCCCTCCCCTCTTCCCCTTTGTGGTTTCTATGTGCTGAGGAGATGGAGGGGCTTTTGAAAAACTCTCTGTCCTCCTTTTCCTCCTCCTGTCACACGAGCTGTCACTGTCATCGTCACGAAAGGTTCAATGTGGATCTGTCGTATGTTTTTTTCTGTGCTTGTCGGACCTTGTGGATGTTTTCTCGTCGACTCGAGTCTCATTTTCTCAATGTCTCTCTTTCTCCTTAAGGTTGTCCCTATCTAGAAGCAATCTTTGCCTCAAACTACACTCCTCAAACTCCATGTTCCTTTGCGCCTCAAATAGTCTCTATTTACCATCGCTGTCCTAGAATCCAGTCTTGCATCAATTTGTCCTCCTTCGCCCAGACATCCCCCTCCGTTTTTTCTTCTTCCATCCCTTTTCAGCTCGTCTTTTTTGTCCTCATGAATATTTCAGATTGAAGGCCAAATCCTTGTTCCTCTAGATCTGATAAACCACTTAGCGCTGGGAAATGTGCTTTTAGTCCAGCTCGGATCTGGCTAGTAAATAAAAAGCCTAACCAGGTTGTAAATAAATAGGTCTTTAAGGATTTGTCGGTCCCTAGAGGCCTTCAGTCCCACCAACTCGTGTTAAAGCACGGTATCAATCAGCAGAGAGCTCCTCTATCCCACTATTAATAAAATATGGATCACACCACCAGCGGATGTCTGGGCCTTGGGAGCTACCCTACTTTCATTAAAGGACTGTTTGGTTCTCCGCTGACGACAGAATGCGGCCCGTGAGGTATTTTTAGCGCTTAAGCCTCGTCCCACCCCTCTGCCAAAATGAAAAATAAGACAAGCACCAACCAGCCAAAGCACGGATTCTACAGTTTTATTTTTCTTTAGCAGCTCTGACTTTAATAAAGCACTTTTTCGGGGACGGAAGACTTCTTTATTTAGAAGCTTCAGCAGAATCGCTCTTTTGAAATTAGAATCAGAATACTTTATTCATCCCAGGGGGAAATTGCGTTTTGAAACAGTCGCTCCATATTCATTGAAAAAAAAGAAAATAATGATTTAACCATAAGACAATAAGAAAATAACAAAGTGAAAATAGGCAATAAAGAGTCAAGCAAAAACATGTAAGATTAAAGATAAAATCACAGGAAATTAAAGTAATTATATGCAATAAAAGATCAAATAAATAATAATACATTGTATTTCCATGAGATGACAACCAATTACGTTCTTCCTGAACAGTTTTATAAAAATACAAATAAATGGTAGTAAAGCGTCAGGACCTGTGAGTCTGGAGGACTATCCTAGAGCTAACTAAATCAACCCAGTTTTGGGGCAGCTCTTCTCTGCAGAGGACGGGGAAACCTGCTGGATGCTAAGCAGACAGATCGTGGCCCGTCGAAAATAGAATGAAATGACCCCTTTTTGAATGTCCTATCTAAAATAACATTAGCTAGAACTGCAGCCCTGTGCAGTGTTTACTAGGTCAGTGCTGCAACATGTGATAGCCTCAGTCTCTACTGTTCTCTAATGTTAGGTCAGAAAGGCAGATTTACACAACATTTTAGCACATTTCCACTTTACCAGTTAGAGGAAAACATAAATATTTTCAGGTCAAATATGTGTTATACAAAATAAAAGCAGGTGTGGTGCATACTGCTGAAAGTTCTCATCTTTCTGAGGCTGAGTTCTGTATGTATTTATTTGAATAAAGACCTATTCAAAGGTGACGCCTCTTCATGTAAGCTTTTTAAAACTTTTACAAATAAGCACTGTTCTCTTGTTCTTTAAAGTGCTAGATAAGTTTAAGCTACTAAAGTACTTTATTAAGGTTAGGGAAAGATCGTTATCATGCTTAATATATACTCAAATTGAATCTAGACCTTATTGAATGGTATGTCAAATATAATGGGAACCACAGTTGTCCATGTCCTTTGATTTTGTTCAATTGAAACCACTTCAGTTTATCTAAACATTGGGGTGATTGGAAAAAGAAACCTTGACTTTTGTCAAGAGATAACACTAACTAACAAAAACACTTTTCCATACAGTATTGTATAAATGGATGGATTCAACTATATTGTCATTTCAAGAGACATTAAATAAAAATATAAAGTAAATATGAGTATAAAGTACAAAGTGAGGTTATCGGAAAAATTTGATACAAAATACTTTATATCAGAATAAATTAAAAAAAGTAACAATAAAATATATTAAATAAAGATGTATATAACCATAACCATAACCACCATCTAATCTAAGAACTAGCAATACAAATAAATATAAAATAAAATATGGATATAAGATAAATAACAAATAAATCCGATTAAGAGTATAAACACAAAATGAAATACAATTATGCTATTTTTACAAAGATAAGAAGTTGAATTAAAATGTCCAATAACACACTAAACAAAAGGAATAAGAGAAAAACTGATCACTCTACACAGCTTCTGTCATCGAAACAGCGTTGATAAAGGTGAAGCAGGACATGATGGCATCTGTTTCCTGAACACATCGGTCCGTTCTCTCTTTCTCTTGCATAATCCATCCCCTCCTCCCTATTTCCTCCAAAACCTTTCATCCCATCCTCACAGTCTATCTGATGACCAGGGCTGTCAGATACCCCCCTCTATCGCCAAACCACGAGTCAGCCAGCCGAACCTGAACGTGTGTGTGTGTGTGAGAGTGTGTGTGAGCATGTATGTAATCAGTTCAGGCCTGGCTGCGCTAACATGGCTTAGTGAGTTTGTTAGCATATTATTAGTCTGGGGGGTTGTTGAAGCACTTCTCACATTATCTCCTCTAATCACTCCCTTACCAGTCAGACAAACACAACCTCCTTACGCTCCAACAGCCAATAACAAACCCCCCTCGAGCTGCGTCCAAACTTGATTGACTAAAATCAGTGTCAGTCACAAAGGAGGTCGACTACACCTCCGCTCATCTCCTGCTTTTCTCTCCGTGGATTGATTTGAATACGATTTTCCATCTGACTCTCGAGGCGCCCGCAGATATTTTGTCCCGTCTCTTTCCTGTTCGACAGAGTGAGAAAGAGCCAATCAGACGCACGATACAGGGCCAAATTAATTCAAATATATGCAGATTCGGCCTGATTTACATTGAGTGGAATTCAGGTATGACTAATTCGGTCAGTGTGTAGCAGCGATAGGAGAGAATAAGAGACAGTGACAGAAAGAGAGAAAAAGGAGGAGGAAGAGCCAATCAAAAGCCCCCGATGATGATTTTGTCCTGTGGTGGGGGGAGGTGGTGGGATGGGGTTACAGGGGGGAGGTGGTGGGATGGGGTTACGGGGGAAAGGTGGTGGGATGGGGTTATGGGGGGTATGTGGTCGGATCAGTCTCAAAATGAATAAATGGGCACAGAAGGAAATGTACTTTGGGATTTATATATAAATGTTTCCACCCACAAAAATTCAATGCACACAAAAAATATTTAGTTTAAAAAATAGAAAAATAAAAAATAATAAAAAATATATTTGGGATTCCACAGATACATATTTCTCGTTTTTAAAATAATAAAAAATACACAAATATATGCATTTAAAAGTATTCGCAAGTTTCTGTACCATTAACATAAAAAACGCTCTCCATTTATGAACTTTGTTGCAATTGTTTGTGGTTTTCTTTGAAGACTTGCATTAAAAGCGTACTTAAGTAGAAGTACTTGAGTAAATGTACGTAATTACGTTCCACCAATGTTCACAACAGAGCATAACAACGACAGTCAACCTTAAAATACTTTATAAATATAAATACTTTGTCTGTGCATTGAAAACATTTTTGGACGAAGATATTTATATATAAATCCCCAGTTACATTTGTGAATCCTTCTGTGTGCATGTATACACTTTGAGGCTGACCCGGGTTGTTGTCATGACACTGTGCTTGTTCTTCCGGCTGTTGTTTCCACAGCGACTGATAACACCGTTGTCCTCCTGTGAGCTGTTCTCTGTATCAATCTCTGTTTGAATTTTTTTTATAACAACGACGTGTCCAACCCTTTTGTCTTGTTCTTGTTCTTTCTTGTCCTCCCACCTCTTCTTCCTCTTCCTCCTCCTCCTCCTCCTGCCCCCCCCTCCCTTCCACTGTCCCTCCATCCCTCCCTCCCCCCTCCCCTACAGGATGTGCGTTTGTCACGTTTTCCACCAGAGCTATGGCACAGAATGCAATCAAAGCCATGCACCAGTCTCAGACTATGGAGGTACTGTACTCTCACTCTCTCTGCCTCTTTCTGTCTCTCATTTTGAACATGCACTTTACCCTGTTCATTTCCACGCATTTTAAATAGCTGCTCTCATGTTTGAATTTGTGTTACACCTCGAGACTTCTGAAGTTGGGCGAGTAACATTTAATCTAATTTACGAGCCTGAATCGAATGCTGTCATATTAATGTTAAGGTCTAGGCAGCACTTGGTTACATTTAGACAGGTTTTACAGTTGATTTTAAACACAAGAATAAATAAATCTCACATGTCACGAGTTTTCTGGAAATGTGGGAATGAAAAAAACGTTCAGATCACACTGCCATATTTAGACGTTTCTCTCGTAAAGTCGTACTCCACCAATTTCTATATTAATTACTTCCCCCACGTGATCTTAAGTTCTTTAAAGGTCACCTATTGTGCAAAATCCGCTTTTCATGTATTTTCTACATACACATGTGTCCCCTCTGTGTAAATAGATTGGGGAAGTTTCAGGAAAAAATAGCCTCTCTCTTTTTGTCCTTATCCATTTATATAAAAACCTGTCTGAAAATGAGCTGATCAGATTTTGGCCACTTTGTGATGTCACAATGTTTTTTTGGGTTGTGTACCATTAGCCAATAACCAACCAAGGTAACACCACCCCCCCCCCCCCCCCTCGGCCCCACCCCCACCTTATCACCTGAATCTCCTCCTAGAGCGCCATTGTGTTTTTTAACCAATCACTTCTCAGAGGGGCGTGGCCAGCAGCAGATCATTAGCATGTAAAGCTACAGAATCAGCCATTTTGAAACAGGGCTGAAACAGAGGGGATTATGGGATGCATGATCTGTTTGGTATTTCAACACTTCAGAGACATGTTTTGTATATATCTGAAACCTATAATATATCATTGAAAATGCTTATAATAGGTGATTTTTTTTTTTAAATGTCCTTCATGCCTCCACCCTGAAGAAATATTCCAGATATGGAATAACCGTAAACTTGGGCCAAATTCTAAAGCAGAAAACCCTTTTAAAAGTCTGTTTTACTCAGTCAAATGTTCACTACACTTGCATTTGTACTATAACCTTATTATCTGATATACTTCTAACTTGCAGATGAGACTATTTTGCATAAGTGTTTTGGTTAAAACAAATATGCATGTGTGAGGAAAGCAAGGGGTGTGAATGGGTAAATGAGATTTGGATTACACAGCATGCATTTTGTGAAATATTGTAAACAGATGGTTTAATATAGTTCTGCCTTTGGCCCTTATTTACTTTAATTCATAAGATTATTTTTCCATTTTTGTATTCTAAGTGCATGTGGAGGCGTGCAAGATAACACAACTTTTCTTCGGTGTTTGAATGTAACGCAGCGTGAGCAACTGATATACAAATGGCTTTTATTTGGTGTTCCTTTAATGTCTTAGAAAATGCGTGATGTCGTAGTTTGAGGCTCCTGCATTGCTGAAACAGAAGCCAGCAGTGTTATGTCTTTGGTCACACATTTCCCAATAACAAACTTTGGCAGAGGCTCCAATGTGAGAAAAAAGCAGCACCATTGACCTGAAAGTCACAATGTGCAGGTGGTGTTATAGACCTCATCAGCTGCACCGCGACCCCGGCGGGGCCGTAATGGGCCCCGGCCGCTCCTCCTTTGTGTTCCCTCTTTTTTTGGGGGGCGCTTTTGTCAACATTGTGAGGCTGGTGACAGGTCAGGGTGACAGGCTGTGATTGGGACCGAATTACATGGTGTAAGACGAGTGTCAGAGAGAGGAACAAAAAGTGGTAATAACAGTGTGCAAGAAAAGAGACGTTCACCCCCGAGCCCCCTCATTAGTACTGATCATGATAATCATGGCTGCTATTGATGTGCTGTGACCCTGACATGGGGGAAACGCATGCTGCACCCTGTGACTGTCTGTAGACTACAGAAGGGCTGCGCAATTCATCCACATTTTATTAAAAAGGCAAAATGGACAAGTGCAGTATCCAAAGTGCAGTTAGTGTATTTTTTGGTAAAAGCAAAATATGTGAAAATGTCTAACTTAAGGCTGTTAAGTTATGTGAAGCTGCAGATAAGCTCTGGCCAACAAACATAATGTTCAGCCTAAATAACATATCTTTACTTAAAAAATCACACCATGGTTATTTAATATATTTCTCAATTAAAATGTGAATTATATAGATTTTTTTTAAATCCCTCTAATATCTCATATCATATCGCAATATCATTTAAAATAATCATCATCATTTTTTTATGTTTCTAATCGTGAAGCCTTGGTATACAGTGTGAGGGTTTTGTATTGTGTTTTTCTATTTTCACATTGTCAATTCTGTAATATCCTACGCTCTTTCAATGCACCGCAATTTTTTCCGCCATCGTTATCTACCTCATTCCAATCCACCTATTACATTTCCTGAAATGGCATGTTGAAGACTGTTTGAACAAATAAGTCCCCACCACTAACACAAAGTGACTTCCTTGATGCGGATATCATTGAAGTGTGTGTGGATTTACGCTGAGCAGCAGCGGCGTTTCTGTCTGAGTAGAAGCAGTGACGGCGTTAGCATTAAGCTGGAATTATCCTCTTTTTGAGCCAGGTAAACACTGCCAGTGTCCTCCGCTTTTATCAGGCACACAGAAAAAGAAGCCTTAAACCATAACGATATTGCAGTGGACAAAAGCAAAATACCTTCATTTCCATTTGAAAACACGCTGTGTAGCCCCAGGCGGGCTCCAAATTGCCGCAACCGTTTGTTAATGTTCCTCAGTTTTTGCAATTTAAAAGTAATTACTTCGAGTCCGTGTGAGGGAATGAGGTCTGGTAAATAGAGTTTGGTTATTGTCTTGGCTCTATTGCACTCCTCTGTCTTAGATAGAGCGAGATTGTGCGTACATGTCATGGCTGAAAAAATAAATGGGAATGTGTGTGTTGATGGCCCTGTCACTGTCGTATCCATTCTCATTAAGGCGTGACATTCAGGTACACGGTGGCACACACACAACTCACTGACACACACACACACACACACACGCGCTGGCTGAATGTCAGGCCCTAATGAAAGTGGATATGAGCGAGACAGGTAATTCACTGTCGAACCTCTGAAGACACACACAGGAAGTGGGCTGGCTTCGTTGTGCTTTACATTATCTACTCCTTTTATACATACTCATTTAGCACTCAGCTCCCCCTGTGCGACGCTTCATCAACACTGATTTCTGTTTCCGACGCTCCTTTTTCTCCCCACATGACACTAGAGGCCCACTCAAACATTATCCTGCCCCCGCTGCACACACAAACACACACACACACACACACACTCTCACCGCCAATGCACACGCGTTCGAGCGCATGTAAATGAGAGCTTAAGTAGAGCATGAGAGACAACAGAGCAGTGTCTGTTTTAATAGTAAACAACCACATCTGTCAATTGCAGTAAAGAGGATCAGACAAGAGGAAGACATTATTAGATTAATAAGGGCTGATGTTGAGGGACATATAAAGCTGGATGATCCCATAGGTGTCAATATAACACAACCATAGGTGTATACATATAAAGTTTCACCGAAGTCCGTAGTTGTTTATTTAATATACTGTTATTTATATGTTTATTCGTATTACCATGGCCCACTCTTACCTGTCCTATCCTGTGATTCAATAGTTTTCATGTTGCGGCTTTAACGCTTGAATTTCCCAACAGGGATCAATAAAGTTATCTTATAAAATCCACTTCCACAAATAAGTCTCAAGATATCTACTTTTTGACTGTGTTTTATCACATCTGACAAAGGATTTTTAATGTTTGGGTTGTAAATCACCAGTTTTCTTTTTTTAGAAACCCTAAGTGATAATACGTCAAATGTTATCCGTTTTAGGGACGGCATTACTATACCTTCTACTATGAAAATATGGATAACATTGTTTCGAGTCAGGAGCTTTTATGTTATCATGCAAACAAACAAACTACCTTTTGTCTGTAGAAAACAGACAAAGAAATGATTGCAGAGATCGGTTATTAAAAAATTGATGTATTGAGAAATAATTGAGAAATCAAACCATTATCTGTAAATGGCATTGGAGACCAAGGAGAGTATAGGCTAGAGTGAAGTCGTTGTTTTGAATTTGCAATATGGAGTAGTGCGATATTCAAATTAGAGGAAGCACAATCTTTGTTAAAGGCTAAATATATGTTAGAATACAATTGTTTTATATCATTTTAAATATTTTGTGTAGCAACAGGTTTACACATCTTATTCTAAAGATCACCAACACATATTTGTTTTGTACAGATCTTCTTAGAACAATCACACCATGACATTTTAATATGTTTTCAATGAGAATGAGGCAAAACATTTCCAATCACTTATTGTTTTTGCAATATGAGTCAAAAATAATCACAATTAGTTCTTTTTTCCAAATCATGTAGCTGTAAATATCAGGGAAAAGCACCCTTTTTAATGCTTTTCTCTGTGCTTTTCGTGTGTTGGAGACAAAAGGTTAAAATAAATGTGCACGGATGCTCCAGACTCTATGTGCACACTTGTACGGACAAGAGGGCCTCCTGCTTCCCTTTTAGTAGCTGCAGATAACATGGTTTGACATTTAAAGGCTCAGTGGGTGGTAAATAAATGAGATGGAGGAGGCTCAGAGCATAAACTCTCTTGAAAGCTATGAGAGATTGATTTGCAAGGTAAACGGACCGGAGCTTATAAGTTCAGTTTGCGTGTATGCTTGGGAGAGATTGGAAGTGATGTGTGAGGCTCTCTCCACGCTTGTCTCTGAGAGTTGACCTCAGGGAGTTTAGTCAGCTTTATTAGGGAGAGAACTCCTGCTCAAGTCTGTAACTTCTGACAAAAAGTTCTACTTCTCTGCGTCGGAGGGTCAAACCACGGCCTGACGCAGGTGCTGAGGTGTATATTTAAACACTGTAATTACATAATTATACATATGGATTCCATAATTGTGCAGGTGCTTATTGCTATGTATCATTTTGAGAATATAGGCTGTCAT